TCTCCGATAGGACCGAGCCAAGCGGGAAGTTCGTGTAAAGTGCCTTTCCCAAGGACACAACGTTGGGCCGAGCTGAGGCTCGGACCCCTGAACCCGCAATCTCACGATTACGAGTCTGGTAGCCTGACCACTAGGCTAGCCGTTTTTGTCAAGATATTCCAAAATAGCAACTGCTTAAATAAATCTCTTCATTACGCTTGAGACCAGATTTGCCAAATGGGTGGTTGGAGGGCGCCAGTACGTGGTAGGCTTTGCTTTTTTTCTTGTCTCTGTCTGTCTATCTGTCTGTCTTACCTTTTTACCAGTACCAAAAGGTACTTCTCTTTCCTCCAACAAACAAACAAACTAAAGTGGCCCTATTGAGGCAGTTTAATGAGAGAGACAATAAAACAAACTCTACAGCGATATTTACGGAAATGAAACACACAGCGCTGGACTGCAGATCACAAAACGACCATATGACTAAGGGTATGATCGTGTAGGAGTATGATAAACCAATCATGGAGAGACAATACCAAATCGAAAAACAAAGATGAAACGGAGAATTGCAATCGCTGCATCTAAACTGAAAATGATGACATCCACCTGAAGAGGACAATGAAAAGAGAGAAAAACAAAAATTCAAACTTTAAGAAACATTCTGGAGACTGTTTCAAACTTGCTTCTGAGCTGACAGCATTTTAAAATAATTTTTTCTTTAAAATTCTCCCTGCCACATCTCCTTATGCTTTACGCTGTGATCAACTTCTCTCTTTCTTGTTCCTCCTAAGGAACAGATTGGCGGGAGATTTCACTGAGCTCCAGTTAAGCTTACTGAAAATCGAGACGAAATGTAACATGTTTGGTCTAATTGTATTCGATACTGTAGGCGATTACTCCAAGTCAAAGATAGTAAATAACAAGATGGGCCACTCAGCCAAAAAAGTGTCCGCAGGAAGTATGCTCTTTGCTTCAGATGGCGCTGCAGTCTGTTTTGAAGCTCTCTTTCGTTTTTCCAGAAGAAAAATAGGAATAGCACCTCCTTGCGTACACAGATCGACTGCTGTTCATCAGCAGTTCGGGTACGTTCAGTGCGGAGTTTTGGGTTTTTTAAATTTTAATGACCTCTCACCTTTCATTCTAAAGTCAAATTAAACGAAGAAAACCATCACCCTTTCCTCCGGAAGAGGTTTTTTGTCAGCGTAACCATTTTAAAAAAGCGTTCTTCCAAAATGTATCCCAAAACTTGCTAGTTTCACTTTGATTTTTTTAAACTCAAGTAGGGTAACTCTGTTTGCAAAGAGTGCGCTTTTGTGAAGAGGGCGCCACCAAATTTTGAGGACACTTTTTTAATTGGCTCAAAGAGAGAAGTGACCCATCTTGTTATGTACTATCTTTGACCAAGTTCAACTGTAACAAAGAATTATATTAAAATACTAGTCGCTGTTCCCCGGTCGCTGTTCCCCGGTAAAATGACGTCATGAGTCGCTGTTCCCCGGCGCAGCCGCTCAAGACAATGTCAAACAACTTATTGTATATATGTGTTGAATTTGAACTGACAAATGTTGAATTTGAACTCTCTATTAATACAATTGATAGCGCTCGTTTGATATTTCAGCTTCCTAGAGTTCCATTTACATTCTCTAATTTTCTACGTTGAATTTGATTTTATCTAGACTCTGTATTGAATAAATTTGGCTATGCTTCATTTGAACGCTCTATTTTGATATTTGATCCGGAAAAGGTGTAGTAGATGTAGTTATAAAAAAACAGTACATATATAAACAAAATTGAAACGAATTAAGAATTTTTTAAGTGGCTTCGCGGATTGCAAGCAGGGTGGGGATGATGAGGGGGCCTGACACGAGTGGCTTTTGCGGATTGCTAGTTGCTGTGGACTTGAAGTTTAGACTAGACCAAGGAGGTTACAGTTTGCGCTAGACTCAACTTATCATGCTGGTGATTTGATTGGATGACTTGACCTAGTGATTTGAGGCTTGTGACTTGAACTAGGGGCTTGTGAGCACGAGCGGGTTTGCTACCGGGGTACAGCCTTAACACATGCGTTGTTAACACGCACACGTGTCTTAGTGTGTGTTGGGGTCGAACTGGTGGCCAGCGTTCTTGTAATGTGACTGGGGGGAGGGGGGGGGGGGGGGCAGGGACATGAATGAAGAGATAATGCAAATCCATCAAATACAAATGGCATGAATCCCGATCTGACGTCGCTATCGTCAATTTTTAGGGGCCAGTAGATCTCACTGGCAAACAGTTTCATTTCTTCTTCTTGTTTTATACCTTGGACAATGCACACCGGACTAGAAATACTGATTGGTTGAGTGTGTGTGGTGTGGGGGGGGGGGGGGGTGACAGACAGACAGACAGACAGACAGACAGACAGACAGACAGACAGACAGACAGACAGACAGACAGACAGAGAGGTCGTGGTGTGTGGAAAATGGAACATGGATTCAGTCAGATTCTGTATGTATATAATGAGATTTACAGGATAAAACAAAATTGTTATCTCGTCATAGTAGAGTCTAGCTACTGTGGAAAACCTAGGGGACCACCTAAAGCCTATTTACGGAAATTAAACACAAAGCACTGGACTGCAGATAACAACACGACATATTAAAAGTGTACAAAAGAATAGTCTACCTCGGATTCAACGAACACATAAAAGGGCAAGCTCGGATTCAACAAAGTCCATAGCGGGGTGAACAGCCCCCACTAATGTGGCTTCGCTCGTAATTTTTCTCTCTCAACAAACCTTATCTATTCGTGAATTATAATTCGCGTAGCCCATTGTTAATACCTTATACGACCAATCAGCGGCCTTCTTTGATACCAACACATGCATTGTTAGCACGCACACATGTCTTAGCGTATGTAGTTTTGTGATCTGCAGTCCAGCGCTGTGTGTTTCATTTCCGTAAATATCGCTGTAGAGTTTATTTTATTGTTTCTCTCATTAAACTGTCTCAATAGGGCCGCTTTAGTTTGTTTTTTTTGTTGGAGGAAAGAGAAGTACATCGACACAATATTGGTCCTTTTGGTACTGGAGGCTATCTCGCTTATTACTAGACCGAATTTGACCAAATTTCACACATATAACAAGCATAGTAAGGAGTCTTAAAATCCGCAATCAAATTTGAGAAAAAAAAGTTTCATTTCCATGGATACGCCGCCATATTGGATTTTGTTGACATGTCTTACGTAATGAATACCGCACTTATCGCTCATGGAAATTGATTGTTTTTTTTGCATGCGTGTTCACAAGCATTAGATCTAAAAATTAGTCTGTTGTTTTTTTCCTAATCGAATTAGAAAATTTGTAATGAATTTTTTCCTGAGGTAGCATTCAAGTTTGCGAAAAATCCGTGAAAATTCACACACCAGACACCACCAACAAAAATCTATTCCATATATCAAATATTCAACAGACAAATTTTTAGTATTACCTCTTCTCTTCATTCTGTGAAAATTTTATGAAGATTAGATGAAAAATGGAGTTATTCAAAAAAGTATAAAGAAAAGTCGCATTTTGAGAAAACGGCCGATAAACAAAAATGAAATACTGACTTTATGAGGAAATGGCGGTTACAAACATGCCCGGTATGGGAAAAATTACGGTTTTTGGGGGTTCTTATGCCATGAAATAGTTGTAGGAGAGGCTGAGGAAGCTAAAAATGCCTACAACTCAAATTCCATGATTTTGAGCCGAATTTTGATTTTGGGGGTGTAGCCCCCCCCCCCCCCCCCCTTAAACTAGGAGATCCCGCCCCTTAAATACCCTAATAGTGTTGATAGGGGGCGTTAAACTCATACCATTTCTCCATAACAGAAACGACGGCTTGGTGGAGTCGGGGATGTTTTTTTCTGTAAAGTGTTTTACGGCGCTCGCAACTGCATAAGGTCATATGAGCGCGCGGGACACACCTAATATTTTCAAGTTGGAAGCAAGACAATAAATGAACAAGCTTTCAGATGATACCAATTACATGTACCCCACATGCCCAAAAATTGACGAGCGCCTGATTCCAACGCGTCATGACACAATAAATAATATTGTAATTTATGTGGTGCTGCACCTACTACAAGTAGACCTACATGAACTTCACAATTCTAATTGCTCGCCTTGTTATTCCATTTTATAATTCCAACCCGTGAATTTAACGACAAAAAAGACCCCCCCCCCCAAAAAAAAAAAAAAATAAAAAAAAAATAAATAGAAATAAAATAAATAAATAAATAAATAAATAAATAAATAAATAAATAAAATAAATAAATAAGTAAATAAATAAATAAATAAATAAATAAAATAAAATAATAAAATAATAAAATACAACCTGGAAATAAGAACTGTCCCCTTAATCCTTAATTAAGTTGTCAGTATTCCAGTTGCTGTAAATGGACCCCCACAGTGTGCATTTTTTTTTCTTCTCTAGTTTGATGGGTTTTTTACTTCTATTCTTAACAAATTAATTATCTTCCTTTTAATTCAGTGGAACATAATTTAGCCTCAGGTGTAAATAATAATATTATCCTAGATGTTCAAACCGTTGAACTTATTTGATCTAATTTGTACCTTAGGTTTTATGGTATGAGATTAGCCTACATATAGGATTTACTGCTTTTTTTAAATATCGAATCATTCATTTTCCGTTATAAAAATATCTAGATCTAGAAACCATTGAATAGTAGGCTGAATAATAATTAAATAAAGTTGTATTTTTGTTGTGTCCAATAAGATTTCATTTAATTATTGTTAACAAAGCAAATTAATAATCACACGAGAACAAACTAGACTCTATCGCAAACAGAATTAATTTTATAATGACAAACTTGTGCGTGCGTGGGGGGGGGGGTAGGTCAGAATTACAAGATAATCACGATAATAGTGATACATCTGAAAATAATGTAACTTCAATTAAATATTGTTGCACGTAACTTCAAACTGGTGACTGTACTGCACAGAATTCTACACTTAGTGTAGAATTCTGTGCTGTACTGTCACGCTTAGACAGGAAAAAAAGGGAGAAAAATCTAATGTACACTGCAATAATAATATTTATTGAAAAACGGTTAATGTACGAACTACGAACAAAGTAATAACATCAGAAGAGTCAGAGTGGGCCTGGGCTAGTTTCCGATTACAGCAGAATGGCGTCCAAAGGTGAAGCCGACAATGTGCAAGAGCAGAGTTCGCCAGTGGAAGGAGTAGCAGTGACAGAGGCAGGGGCTCAGAGTACTACTGTAGATGATCCAGAGCTCGATGCTATCCTTGACAGTGAGCGTCTGCTGCCTGTGAACATCTGTTTCATGCCCTTTTTGTTTTTGTTTTTGTTTTTTTAATTTGACGACCAGTTCTCGTCTTCAGCCTCAGTCTCAGCCTCGGGCCTCAGCAGCCAACGCTGTGTCTCATCTTTTCATCGTTGTAGATCTAATTGTGATGTGTAATGGGCACTACTTGGATATGGTGGTCCCGACTTTGGGAAGATAGAAGAATACCGGACCACTCGTACTCGTACATTATTGCGCGAGAAAGTGGGGCGGGTGGTCGGGGTGGAGGAGGGGGGAGGCTCAGGGGGGTCTCCCCCCTGACAAAATTTTAATGAATAGATCGGTCCGAGATTCTCCATTGAGAGATATCAAAAACAGGAAAATTATGAATTCCTAAGGTTGAGACATAGATCTAGGCAAAGTCAGTCCGCCGATCCGGTATTCTTCAACGAAGTGACTAGATTCTAGATCTATTCGGACTCGAGTCCGAATATGAAAAAATGTTATTCGGACTCTGATTCTTGTCCAGCATGACATGACTGCCGATTTCCTGTGACTCGTGACTCCGGCTTCCTGTCCTGCCTCACTCGTGACTCGCCTCAGGCTGGGTAGAGATGGGATCACTTCGGGCAAAATGGCGTTAAATTGTGCAGGAGCCGAGTTTTTATCTTATGATGAATTTGAAAAGTTATAGCGCTTCTAATAAATGTTTATTTGTCAAAAGGTCATCAGAAGCAATTAAAGATGGCTCGTTAGCGTGTGTCGGGGTCGGATGGGCGGCCTGCACACGTGTGGTGGGTGTGCGTGTCGGGGAGGGGGAAGCACTATCGGTCCGGGCGTTGAACGTCGCAGGCAACTGATCATTACAATAATAAGCTAGATCTAGTCTTGACGTAGATCTACGTAATGAATTGTGCGCTGGTCTATGGAATCAAAAGTTGCCGTATGCTCGGCTTTACACAGCAACACAACTTTTTCTTGGTAAAACAATTGAGATGACACAGGCTTGTGTATTTGAACGAATCGATCTTTTTTTTTACACAGCTCATAATATGCAGTATGCCAGGTGATCTGCTAATCTTCAATTTTACCTTTTTCTACCACAAAGAAAGTGGGAAACATGGGGTGGGGGGGGGGGGGCGTATCAATGAGGCGGCGGGCATCGGATCGGCAGATAAAGTGTGGGGGAAGCTAAAAAATGGCGGAAAATTGGAAGCACTGAACGTTAGATCTAATGAACTAAGACACTTCCTTTTTTTCCAGACCGTGTCCGAATAACATTTTTAAAATATTCGGACTCGAGTCCCAATACGAAAAAATGTTATTCGGACTCGAGTCCGAATATGAAAAAATGTTATTCGGACTCGAGTCCGAATATGAAAAAATGTTATTCGGACTCGAGTCCGAATAATGACGGCCATTCTTCAATCTTACCCCGACTTTTGTGACAGGGAAATATATATAACCCAGAGAAAATTTAGACGATTACTTCTGGTTCTAGTCTAGATTCTAGATCTCTAGATTAGATCTAGATCTAGATCTAGACTAGAGTCGATGTGCCAGACCGCGGCAGTTTCATGAGGTCAAGTGGCTGTGACCCTTGTGCGTGAAGAAAACATGAATGGCATGTGTGGTCACATATATATGACTGACCCATTTCTTCTCAGTTTGGATGCTATTGCAGTGATCTCCCTTGATTTGTGTGCCGGGACCAGGTCGAACCGCGATGCCTCTCGATAGCCCACAGTGCGGCAAGGTGCCGTGACCGCGGCATTTTTTTTTTTACGGAGTGCACCGGGTGAGAATAGCCAGAAGACTCGACTGCACTATTCTCACCCTGTGTGCGTTCACCGTTTATGGCCTAGATCTAGGCCAACCAATTTTGCGTTCACCCTGAACCACAGAATTCTACAGTGTGATAACAGAAAAATTGTAGTATTCTGTTCCGTGAACAAACGTTCCATTACTACTGTTAGCCTAAAAGCGTACAATTTTGTCTGTGTGCAGTGGAGAAAGAGAGAGAGAGAGGAGTAGCGCGAGAACTTCCGGTCAAAACAAAATGGCGACCCGCGTAGTTCGGCTTGATTCGAAAAGTTAAATAGCTGTAGCATCTTTGTAGACGATAAAATTATGACAAATTAGCTTACTTTTGTGCTATAACGTAATTTTTTTCTTTGCTTTTATCCATTTGATCATCCACACCGATAGAAAGTATTCCGAAATTAGGAAAAACAGGTCTTGTTTCACACCGGGTGAGAATAGCCAACTGTGGCAAGTCTCACCCAGGGTGAGAGGTCGATCGTCACCCCGGGTGAGGATAGCCACTTCCAAGCATAAAAAACATAGACCGACTATTTTTATCGATATAATATTTCAGTAGGCCTACACAAAAGTTGGGACCACCATATCCAAGTAGTGCCGTGTAATGTTACTCAACTTGAATCTACTTGTTGTGTACATCAACTCTAATTTACTAGGCTGCCACTGAACGGTGTGACAGTTACGTCTCTCACAACTTAAGGTACTCGGGTCACTTCACTGGAATACCAGTCACACCGGTGCAGTCAAGACATCATCAGTCATCTCGTCACACTCCAAATCCACAAAGACTTGAAGGTTGAATAGAGAAGGTCATTTCGTAGCAGGTAATACCGCACACGGCGCACCGGCAGTGGAATTTTAGTTGCCGCGGGGGGTTCCCCGCCGGGCGCCTTATCACGTCGGGGTCACGGGGGTCAGCTCCCTGTCACCGCTCTGTCTGGGCCGACTTAATTTTTGGTACTTTTCAACGTACAATTTAAGGTGCATCCTTGTATTTATGGTAATTCTCATTTAGTGCAGCCAAAGCACGCATTTCTGCTCTTGAGACTCAAAAAAGAACGGACGTTGTAACTTTTCTGGTTATTTCGTTAGACGCGCTGGAGTCGGCAATGCTAAATTGTAATTTTTTTGGGACTAGCGTGAATGAAAAAAAATCAATATAAAAAAAACGCATCGTCAAAATCTGTCGAACTTTTGGAATATGAACGACATAACATTAGTGAAGATACTCAGAAAAGATGGTATCTGCGCTTATAATAGAAGGCTGTACTTTTGCAATTTTAGCCATCGGGCACACAATTCGCTACGAAGTAATTCCTCCAAATACAACTTTATGTGTCTAATATAATCTTGAATATTCGCATATTTTCTCGAAAGTTTATAAAAGTTATCATGAAGTTTCTCAATGAAAAGTACAAATCGATTTTAGTGCTAGATCTTCAACGTAGATCTAATACACGAACAGTATCTGTTACACTCCAGAAATTGCTTACTTTTCTTAAAACGCTAAGTGTAGGTTTTGTAAGTTGACTGAATAATAGGAATGACTTCTCGTAATTGGGTTATAAGAATAATTTCTAGCTTTCCAGGGACACTGAATCAGCACCAGACTTTTCCAGCTTTTTTTACGTTTCTATGACCATTTGCAATAACTGACAATGTGACTGATTTCTTTACATTCATAATTGTGTCCGCGCATATTTCCTACACAAAAACTAAGAATGAATGTTTTAGCTGTCATTATTTTTATACCATACTAGAAGTTTATCTCTACCCATGTATTTACACGGTTTTTGTGGTTTTTTAAATCGCTTATAAATATTATATCTTTTTAGTTGTATGCAGGCTGCCATAGACACAGCATGATTCATGAACAAACGCAGAGTAACTTTCTCTTGTTTAATAGTAAAATATGAGCTAACTTAACGCTGATCGTCTTTAGTTAAAATATGCAGATGTGCATCTTTCTTCTCTTATAACTTGACTATTACTACTACCGCAGATTTATGATTTCTCATGGTAAAAGACATGATATTCGTAGTCAGTTTAACACAGAATTTGGAGAGATCTGTCGTGCCTTTTTTAAAATAACAATCATTTATTCATAACTTTGTAACTAAAATAGGACAAATTGGGTACTCTACAAACACTTGTCTAGAACAAAAACTAAGGCACAGAAACTAACCATTCTAACGCAGAATAAATCTCAAGACATTGAGCTTTTAGTACATTCGTGTAATGGTTTGCTGTGTGGGATGGGGAAGAAGTTATATCGTTTTAAACATAGTCAAAAATGGGAACTTCCCGACCGACACCGGCAAAGTCGCCTCAGGGCTCATTAACCCCGTGACCCCGAGCCGGGGAGCTCCGGCGGGCTGCAGAGTCATGCGAACTAAAAGAAACAGAATCGGGCGAAAAGTGGCGCAGTGCTGCGGTCCCGGTCCTTTGTTTACAGTGCGGCCATCTGGGATAGAATGAAATGTTGCTTCCGTGACCGGGTGATGATAATGGCCAGATTTTCAAGGCATGGGGCTACAAACAATGCCAAACTGCACACATTAAAATAAAATAATTTTTTTAAAAATCATATCATAATCTTACCTTACGGAGCAGGATACCACTGTTGAATATGATCAACAAAACAATGTTGTCTTGAATGCTTCCTTAGGTGTCTTTCCGTACTCCCCCTGCCACATAAATTCATCCAAGTGGGATGAGAGCATCGCCTCATTAGTACCACTCATGGCTTTAAATCGTCTCTTAGCATTCTTCCAGTAGTTTTCAACCTTATTTGTACATGTACATGCACCGGTTATGGGGTCGACAAAATTTTGCTCATGAATTATGACAATGTGTTGGTATGCCGGCACAACGGGAATATTCACTATGTTATGATATGAAGCAAATCCGTCACTGTTTAATATGCTGCCAGGAGCAATATAATGCCTTCTTTTATGCAGTCTTCGAGGGTGGCAGCAGTTCTGTCGGGCACTAATTCTAAAAATCCTTTCCCAGTGTGGCCCTATCCACTTCCCCAAACACCCACCTCTGTTGCACAACTCTCCCTACGTTGTTCTTCCTTTTAGCTATTAATTAGACTTTCATCTAGATCTCGACCTGCTGTCCAACCCCACCTATTAGAAAAGGAATTTCCACTAGCTTGAATGAACACACCTCACGGAAGTACGGGAACCACTGGATCACTGTATCCTCACTCAATCCAGTCAGGGACACAATATGAACAAATGGTTCCTTGAAACTCTAAGAGAAGAGAAGTTCAACAATGTTACACGTGAAGTCAACTGACTATGTTCGAGGAAGGTGTCCTTACACAAAAAAACCTTTTCACCTTTATGAGTTGGGCACCTAAAGCATCTTTCTTCACCCATACCTGTTTTTACTAAAGTCATGGAATCTGCCTCGGACATTCCAGACAAATTGGAGGCACTGATCGTATTAAATTGTTTTGTTGCTGCAAAAATCTAAGTGCAGCTTCTTCATTAGAGGCATTCTCATATAAAATATTATAAGCCATTGTGAAAAAACATTGCAAAACTCATGGCGTCACCATTGTGAAACTCAGTCAATTTACAACCAAAAAAAAGATGAAACACACAACTAAAATCGTATTTTAAAAAAGGCACAAGAAAAGGAGAAATTGAGATTCAATTACTGAAGAAAAGACTAATTAAACAGCAGTAACAGTAACACTAGAAATATCCTGGAACTTTACTCATGTGACTAAAGTGAACCATGCAAGTCAACTGAAGTGGCGCGAAATTACTTTCACGGCGTGGTTCGCTATGCCAAAATTAAATAACAAATTGTCTAGATTTTATAATATGATTTTTTAAATAATTCTCGTACCACTTGAACACAAGTGTGTTTTGGCCATTTTAATGTGCTGTTTGGCATTGTATGCCTTGAAAACCCTGCCATTATCGTCACCCGGTCCCGGAAGCGAGATTTCATTGTATCCTAGATGGCCGCACTGTAAACAAAGGACCGGGACCGCAACACTGCGGTATTACATCGTAGCACACTTGCAAACATCAAACGAACATTGTCATGGCAATCGTAAATCTCCATTTTTGGGAGACGGTTTGGGCAGTGTGTGGAGGGACGGCTATTGTTCGCCTACAAAGCCTATTTATCTATGCGTACAGGAGGGCCATCCGCATAGCCACGAGGCTATGCGTACAGGAGCCATACGCCACTTCGTTAGATCTATTATTCGCCGGTTTTGGTCCCCAGAGTAGAACTAGAGGGTCCTTTTTCAGTAGTTCGGGCCCTCTTATTTGAGCCTAGATCTACATCTAGATCTACTTGATGCTCGGTGAGCAAAGATCTCAAACCTAACAACTGCAAAGCATCTGTAAAATTCAGGGGGGGCATTTCCCCCTGAAACCCCCCACCATATTTTTATTAGGTCAGGGGGGCAAGCCCCTGAAACCCCCCTACTCTTGAGGCCAAAACCCGTTCAAATAACAATTGCAGAGTGGGAACTACAGAAAAAGCGCCAACTAGAGGGGAGTTTCCGGGGCGCTTGCCCCCATGACCGATAATAAAGATATTGGAGGATTTTCGTAACAAGCAACTGCTATGAGACAGAGTAGAAGGCCTATAGGAGCCTGAATAAAATTAGGAGATAGGAATAGGGTTTGGGTTAGGGTTAAGATTAGGCTTAGGTCTCTTCTCTATTGTGTTTGTTGGGATGGTCGCTCGTTACGGAAGTCCTTCAAAAAATATAGTGGGGGCATGCCCCCCTGAATTTTATCATAAAATCTGATGTTTTGTAGTTGTTAGATTTGTTATTCTCGCTCGCCACGTATCAAACATAGATCTAGAGACTAGGCCCAAAATAAGGGGGGTGGGAACTTCCGAAAAAGCACCCTATTTTTAAGAGCATTACCCATTAACTCTTTCCGGACATAGTTTTTTTTTTTTAGGTCTAGACGTAATAATTAACTTGTGGCTCGATTGGCTACACAGGTGGTGTACGAAATTATAAACATAACCATCACTCAAAACGTCACATTATATTATATATCAAATTGAAGGAAATTGAATGAGGAATACATCCCAACATGAAACAAGGATTGATTTTGAACATAAGTATGCATTACAAGGGTTAGAAATGGTGATGAGAATAGATTTTGACGGAAAAAATTACATTCACCAAACATACGAAAGCAAATCAGCATAGCTATCTTATCCAGGCCAAGAGCATATATCCATACATTTCTGAATGCGCAGCTTTTTATTTGAAAGCAATATTCCAATTTTTGTTTGGGTTGATATAAATACACTGAGTCCGGTTACATTGTTTTGTTGATGCAAATCCACAAGTACTAATTCACTCGTTTTTCCCCAAGCCCATGCTCTGACAAAGTGAAACTAGATATTTTAGTTCAATTCACCTAAATCCTTTCCAAGTTTTCAATAACAATGAAAAGTAATTATAAATGACGGATCGTATTAAAACGAAACAATACTGAGGCACCCTGTCATATCTCATTCGTCCACAAGGGGTGTAGATTCGCACCGATATATATATCTGTTATTACGTCCGGAAAGAGTTAAGGGCCATTACATATGTTTGGGTATTGACTCTGAAATAAGGTTTTAAAACTCGCAAATCTGTGGTTTTTCAAGAAAATGTTTAAATTAAAACATTATTATAAGTACTTTTATACCCAACAATATGGTGTTGTAATAGTCCAGTAATAAGGAAATGCAGGGGTGGGCAAGCTTCTCTGAAACCACTCTGGTTTTCTAAAAACTTTCAATAGCTGGGGGGTCACCTATTTTTAGCAGTGAAATTAGCAAGAATATGGCTGCCAAAGTTTGGTGACTTTCATAGTTTGAGAGCCCTTGGAAACTGAAAATTTACATTTTTCACACCTTTTAATATGAACATTTTACGATAAAATCGACTCAGAAATGTGTTTTAATGACACAGAGTCACTCAAGGTGTGGAACCCAAAAAAGAGTAAATATCGGGGGGGAAAAATTGCCCAACTGCCAGAAAAATGCACGTTTCTTTGATTTCATTGTTTTAGCGAGAGCCTGATTTCTCCACGATGCCTCACAAATGTTTCTGTAGGAGTTGACTTTTACAGGAAAAATGTTGTTACACAACAAGCTAAGGTTGATCTCTTCAGGGGGATGTTGCTTTTTTCTGAGTTGCTGTTGTGGACACCACTGTATTATATATATGTGACTTTTTCTTCCCTCAGGTGCCCTAGCTGATTTTGAAAAGCCAAAAGAGAATTTAGCGAAGAAAGCAGCCACAGTGAAAGCGGAAGCTGACAGTTCGACTGATACAGGGGAAGCTCCGAAACAAAGTGGGAAGGCCTCTTCGCAGGATGGAGCGGCACTCAATCCTGTAAGCAGTTCACCTTGAATTCGGCGTCTTTCCAACTTAATGTTTTATAAACAGCGTGTTTCTCTTCTTAGTTCTTTGCTCTAAAGTTTTCTTCCTGGTGAGACGTTTTTATCTTTATTGTCAATAGCATCTACTGAATCTATATAAAAGTGGACTTGGGAGGCTTTGTGCACAAACTCCTCCATTATTACCTAACCCACACCTTTGAAACTTTGCAGGCGTCCACAGCATCCATGAGGCTAGGACCTAACTTTAAAAAATCCACTCAAACTACTTTTCCAGATTTTTCCAAAATGTTTTGTTTCATCCACAAAGAGTTCTAATCTTGGGAAAGTCCGTCTTCTTAGTCCCCATTGTAAACAAGTAAGGTTTCCGTTCACTAGCCGTATGCGCACTGATTCCACACCTTTGGAATTCTGGAGTGTACAACCACTAAAGCGGAATAGAGAATCAATCTATACATCTATTATAACATTTGGCAACCTGGAAACATGTGTATCACTTTTCTGTCAAGATTTATTGCTCCGTTCAAGTAGAGCGAAAATAAAGTAGGCCAATGACTTTCAGTTAATGTTAATGCACCGATCATTCATTCCTTTCATCGAAAGGGGGGTCCAGCTAATAGCCTAAAATTGCCATTGATTTTTCTCCTCTGCCAAGAACAGCAGGACAGATGCAGCAAAATAAAAAACACCTTGTGGTCAGCTGTCACTGGTGCGCCATTCACTCGGTGACTGAGTGGTATTGTGTCTCAGTACTTCCATTCTTCCTTATTTTTGGTACCTTATGAATGAAAGTTTCGTACATGCCCCCCATCCCCATCATTACCAACCCCATCCATATAAAAGTACAAACAATACTGTAAGGCTACTGATATTCTGTTACTGTTACAAATGATCTGCACATGCTTCTGTATGGTCATGGATATTTTTGGTGTATAATTTTACAACAATTCTCGGCGACAAGTATATAAAAGAAACCTGCCAGATTGCACAGTTGCTGTTTTTGGCCTATTGGTCAAAATGTGGCTTTGCAAACCTTTCGTGCGTGGGTGGTTGGCGGATGCTCTGGTGTGGTTTGCTTCTTCTTTCCTAGCAAACATCTATCGTCCGTATCTCCCCTTCGTCTTTTTTATGTTTGTTTCTCTCTTGTAACAGCTCTAATCTTCTGGCGCTCATATATGACCTTATGCAGTTGCGAGCGCCGAAAAACCTCTACTAAACTAAAACTAAAAAGCTTGTGCCTATTTCCTCCTTTTTTTTCCATCACTCCTTCTTTGTGTTTGTCTTGATCATTGCTTTGGTTGGAAAATCTGTGGGTGCTCTGGTGTGGTTTGCTCCTTTTTTCCTATAAAAAATTTATCGTCTCTATCTCCCCTCCTTCTTTTTTTGTGTTTGTTACTCTCTTGTTACACTTCTAATCTTCGGCACTTATATGACCTTATTGTGTTGTAAGTGCTGTAAAACTCTTACTAAAGCTATACGAATTGTTATTTTAGAAAGAAATACACTTGTTCGAGATTAGGCCTCCGGGCCAGCGGCGCGTCCCGTAAATAAACGAGAATAGGCTCAAGTGAGTTAAAAGAAGGTTCCCCTTGCCATTACCATAACAAAAATATGGTTCAATATGTCATTGCACCCTAGTATCGATTTTTGGCCAATTTCTCCATTTGCGGATTGCGAGAAGTAACTCATTTTGTCAGAAACGTCTCACAAATTAAAATTTTCTTGGGATGTTCACCCCTTACCCCCACCAGACACTGTTTTTGGCCCCTAGACCCTCAGCAGGGAATTTTCGGGAAGGCAAATTCGGAAAAACTGATCTTGACGATACAGTCACCGTCTGTGTACGTACCTTAATTTTTCCTTTCTTTTCCCATTGGACTGTCACGACCCCATGGCACCGCCTCCAACTGTTCTTGGTTTTTAGTTTCAGAATCAATTTCTTTTAACTTCCGTCTTTATCATGCTCCCGTAGAATCCTTAATCTGAGAATTTCTCTAGATCTAGACAGTTTCTTTCTGATGGCTAACCTATTTACTCTATGCGCTTTTATCGGTCGATATCTTCGTTGTTTTTTCGATTACAAGCTACAGGAGGCAGTGAACTAACAGCTGACCCATTTGTTTCGTTTCGTTAAAATTTGGTGAAGTTATGTGTGATACTTTTTGAGCAGTAACGGACTAAGTCAGTCCCGCATGCATTGCAATAGATGATTTTACTATAAATTAGGTGTGGAAAAATTGCATAACCCCCACGCTTTGCCATTTCAAAATATTAATAAAATAAAAACTATTCTGACAAATCACAGATGCAGTTTTCTTTTTCTGTGAGAGCATTTCTTTCTTTCTTTTTTTTCTTTTTTTTTGTCATGATAGCTTTCTCAGTCTTTTTGTGGTTAACGATTCAATATACCATACCCCAAAACTGTCAGGCTGCAATGGTTATTGGGTGGAAAATAGCTCAGGTTCAAGTGGGTTAGAAATTGCTAGCAAGGGAAAATATTATGTCGATGAAGAAATCTATGACAAAATCTTGGTTAAAAAAATGGGTATAATGGGTTATTGGCAACCTGTTGAAGCAAGCTCCCAAATGCCATTTTCAACCCTCTAAAAGTACTGATTTATGTGAAACGTTCTGACAAAATGAGTTACTTCTCAGATTCGAGCCCTCTGGAAATAAACACATCCTGCTTATTGGTGAAGTTTTTAGAATTTTATAAGTATGAAATAATAAAAGGCATGTTATACTTTAAGAATATGGCATTTACAGAAAATCTAAAAATTTGACCCTAGTATAAATTTTTGGCCAATATCTCCATTTGTGGATTGCGAGAAGTAACTCATTTTGTCAGAACGTCTAACTCTTCTGTGCTTTGTCTGTTGGAATCTTCTGGTCAAGGGTCTAGTCCAGTGCTTGTCGAACCTTTTTACAGCCAGCCTCCACATTTGCCATCTTTAAGAGGTTAAAATTGGTCGCTTTTAAGAACAAGCGGGTTAACCCAGATTTCTGGTGTTCCAGAAATCTTGACCTACACCAAAAGTGGGCATTGTCCTACCTATAGGAGAAGTTTGGTTTCATTGGTGTGTATATTTGATTGGTTATATAGAGAAAACTCTTCTTGTCTTTTAAAGAAACTGAACAAGGGCAAAAACTTTACCTTCAATTTTCTCAAAACAGTAAATTTCGGGATTTTCTACTACAAGATGCGTTGTAACAAGCGGAGTATAAGATAGTACCTGTTACTTATCTGGGTGATGCACACTGCCCACCGTTTCTTTCTTTCATTGGTTTTTTTTTTAGCAGTAAATAGTCCACTGCCGGCTTGCTAGGCCTGTCACAGTTTCACCAGAGCCCTGTTAGCCTACAACTTTTCGTGGTGACCCGGGTTCTCCTTCATGGCTAGCGTGACGCCTCAGTGGCATAAAGCCACACTGTACTTCGTTGAACCCAGCAATCTCCTACTTTGTCCAGTTTCCACCTCCCGGGACGTGGACCTGGGGTTGGGCTTTGGGAGGCACACTGCCTACCAAAGTTACCAAATCAGTGGGTGGTTGGCGGGTGCTCTGTTGTGGTTTGCTTCTTCTTTCCTATCAAACAACTATCGTCCTTATCTCCCATTCTTCTTTTTTATGTTTGTTCCTCTCTTGTAGCACCTCTAATCTTCTGGCGCCTATATAAGACCTTATGCAGTTGCAACCAGCATAAAACCTTTACTAAAACTACTTACCGAATCATCCTCTAGAGGGCAATATCGCCTGGGCTAGCATGCACTGCTGTTTTCTTAGGAAATTGTCTGAAATACATATATGTGAGGCAGTGTGGTCGAATCAGGCTCCTGTCAATTTTTGGGCATATTGAGTTATTGGTGTTATTGGTATCATCTTAAAACTTGTTCATTTGTCTTGCTTTCAATGAAAAAATTACCCATCCATCTACAATAGAAGAGGAGATATTTTGGATTGAAGGGTGTGTGGGTCACCTGATTTAAGAGATAAAATTATCGAGAAAATGCCCGCCAAAGCTGGTAAATTCCAAAGCTGGAGAGTCCATGAAAACTGTAAATTTATATTTTTGTGCCTTTAATCAACGTTTTCGGTGAAATCCTCAAAGGAATGTGTTTGTAAATGGCCATAAAAGGTGTTGAGCCAAAAAACAAAAATTTGATAAAAATTACTAAGCAGGGAGAAAACTGCTGTTTTCTTCGACTTCATTATTTTGACGAGAGCCTGATTCCTCCACTCTGCCTCACATATATGTACTTACTTACTTGTCTTACTTGTCCTCTGTGTTGGGGTCACTGCAGTCAGAACATGTCCATCTCTGCTCCCCCCCCCCCTCTTCAGGATCCATCCCAGAGTTACATATGTACTGCCCACCATAACTGTGCAACATTATGGCCTGTATGGAAACGTAAACCTGTCAGGAAATGACTACTAGTCTACTATAAGAGTTGGATGTGAATGTTGTAGACAGGTAAATTTAACTTTTGTAAAACTAAACTGTGTACTGGTAGCTATATTATAAAGGTTTCAAACTCTAGAGTGACCCCCCGGCCCGGTGCCACTGACTGAAGTGTCTTTGTGCCGTTCCCAAAGGAGGGGACATTAACATCTTGAGTTCTTATGCGCAGTAGAATTGTAATTGTAAATGGGCTGATTCGTCTATGTCATGCTCATTACTGTGCCTGAACTGCTACAGGGAACTGCTGCTTTTTCTTTCCTAATCCTTACTATCGTCATTTTCCTCTACATCTATTGTATGTTTGTCACACTCATTTGACCCGCTATTTCCGGGGTGCCTTGATAGTCGAAAAAGACTTTGTGCTGTTGAAACTAGAGAGGTGAGCAGAGTAAGTCTGATTCCCTGTAAGGACTTTTCTGTTGACATCTACCCCTTGGCGCGCATATGACCTTGTGCAGTTGCGAGCGCCTTAAAACCTCTACTAAAACTAAAACTAAACTCTAGAGTGGATCTGAAACAGACCTGATGATTACCGTTTTTTGTCTTTGTGCTGCAGGAAGATGGACTGCCGGAGGATTTGAACTACGACTTCATGGCCGACGCAATGAACAAGCAGTTTGAGGACACGTTTGCGGCTCTAATGAACGACCCGAACTTGAAGAAACAGTTTGAGGATTTGGCAGGCTCAGCAGAGCAAGCTGGTGGGGGTTTTCATTTTGTTAATTTGTTTTTTCTTCTACTCATACCCCTGCTGGGGGCTCTCGTGGCCTAGAGGTGAAGGTGTTGGCTTCTCATTCAAAGGTCCCGGGTTCGAATCCGGGTAGCGACTGAAAAGTTTTCTTCTCTAAAATTGTCTCCTTTCACCTCCTTTCCTGCTTTCTATCAATGTTGTGTCGTCTTCTTTCGTCTCCCACGGCGCACTGGCGGTTTGCCGCGGGGGGTTCCCCGCCGGGCGCCTTATCACGTCGGGGTCATGGGGGTCAGCTCCCTGTCTCCGCTCTGTCTGGGCCGACTTAATTTTTAGTACTTTTCAACGTACAATTTAAGGTGTATCCTTGTATTTATGGTAATTCTCATTTACTGCACCCAAAGCACGCATTTCTGCTCTTGAGACTTAAAAAAGAACGGACGTTGTAACTTGTCTGGTTATTTCGTTAGGCGCGCTGGAGTCGGCAATGCTAAATTGTAATTTTTTTTGGACTAGCGTGATTGAAAAAAAAATCAATATAAAAAAAGGCCTTGTCAAAATCTGTTGAACTTTTGGAACACGAACGACATAGCATTGGTGCAGATACTCAGAAAAGATGGTATCTGCGCATATAATAGAAAGCTGTAATTTTGCAACTTAATCCATCGGGCACACAATTCACTATGAAGTAATTCCTCCAAATATAACTTTATGTGTCTAATATAATCGTGAATATCTGCATATTTTCTCGAAAGTTTATAAAAGTCACCATGAAGTTTCTCTATGAAAAGTACAAATCGATTTTAGTGCTAGAATATATCTTCAATGTAGATCTAATACACGAACAGCATCTATTACACTCCAGAAATTCCTTACTTTTCTTAAAACGCTAAGTCTAGGTTTTGTAAGAGACACTGAATCAGCACCAGACTTTTCCAGATTTATTTTTCATTTCTATGACCATTTGCAATAACTGACAATGTGACTGATTTCTTTAC